GCACCACCAATTTATTGACTTCTCATTTTAAACTAAATTGTAAGATCCGTTGATACTTATCGACACAATCTTCCTCTCCCATTACAGCTGTAAAGACCTCTCGACGGACTTCTGAGTTCAAATGACGTTCTCGTGCTTTGACTAATAAGTCCTCACTTCTGTCTTTATTTCAGGAAACCCCCGTTGTCCATTGAGGTACTTGGTGTTAAGAACGTCACTTCTGAATTGGTCGAACCGGCTACCCACCATTCCTTCTTTTTGTCCAATATTTCAGATAAAATAACACAAAGAGTAAAGTCTTCAACAATTTTTTCTTCTATCTGGTATTGACTAGGCGTTTAAGATGGTCGAGCAAATCAACGTTTTTTGGATTTTGTTGTTTTTTAAAAGGTTGAATATTTCTAAAAAGATTTTTTTTGGTTCTAAAGTATAATTTATGAGGCAAAAATATACAATCAAAGTAGTTTCTCTCAGTGTTTTTGGTTATTTAGAGCAGAGGATGGACCCAATGATATGGATGATGGTGATGACAATATCAATATTCTTTTTATTTATTGCCTTAAAACAGTAAAAAATAAAGGTATTGTTGATGGTGCAAAATTTGTAGACCCACACACTAAGATAAAATTGCTTATTGTTAATTCTTCATTTTATAATGCCTGTTATAAATTCCCATGACACCAATACTCTTATTTCAACACAAAGTAGTTATAAAAGAATGTTCAAAAAATGATCGAGTGTATCTTTCATTTTTACACTTTTTGAAATGTGGAGCTGACTTTTCAAAAATTTGTCACATACATCTTCGGTTATAGCTTAAAACGACTTGTCCCTGTTTGTGTGATCGACTCAAGAGAACTCGAGGAAAATAAATGACCACAAACACCCTTTTATATTCCAACATCGGACATCCCATATTTAATTTTAAGTTTTTCTGGTTTGTTTTATTATGTTAAAAAATAATAAGTTCATTGAATTAACGTACTATTGTTGTTCGTAAAGAAATCAATATAATTGTTATAAAATAATTTTACAATATTGATGCAAAGATTATTAAGAAATGAAAATATTGTGTATTCGATACAATATATTATCAATTGTTCAGTTGTCCTGAAAATACACTCATCACCATTTGGTTTAACTTTGTTACTTGAAGTGCATTCATTGCACTTCTGTGGTTTTGAATTGTATGACTTACAATTTGTGATTACATTTATTTTTAACATTAAAATGTTTGATATATAAAAACATATTGTATAATATCTGTACAATTAGCACACATTTTACCATATTTTGTGAATATGAAATTTTTATTTTCATGATACACATCATAACACTCGGCATGTTCATACTCTGAACAAGTCTTGCAATTGTCATGTGTAATATTAATGACACATTAATTATCTTTTCTTGTTCAAAATTCGACATCTTCTTTATAGCTAAACTTGACATTACATTTCATATAATTTGAAACTGGTTTAACACAATTCAAAAACTTCACCTCGTATTACAATCAATCTATATTGATTGCTTAAAATGCAGCCGGGTAGGCACAACCACTAAATGTAGGTCAAACAGTTTGCATTTTTCAGCAAGTTAATTAACATCGATATAATCATTGTTTGTTGTGTCAAAATAATACCAAAAGCATATGTTACACAACTCCCTCTATTACCATATCAACTTAAGCACCTTTGTCACATTGTAGACAGGACTGCTTTAGATAATACCATTATAGCTTTTGTCATATCTGGTGTTGCTGTTTTTTTTGTTGTAAAAAATCTTCACTTAATTGTTACATACCAAACCACATTCATGATATGTTCCAAGTGAATTTTGTAAATCGCTTTAAAAGCAATCGCATTGTTTATCAATTGCGAATTCTTGGATTCCATTAAATTGTGTTTTGTTTTCATCATTTTGTGCTTTTTTCAATTTGAACATTTTAAAATAATTAAGATGGCATTATGGCAATACGCAGTGGATATATTAACAGATTATGTGTTGTTGCATATGCGTTATTCTTCACCTAGAGCGAATTTATGTCGTTTTTCAATATGAAAATAGTAAAATTACAATGGATATATCTTACTATTATGCACGACAAAAAAAGATAATACCTATCGAAACACAGCACCTAACAATTTGTAAGGGAAATACATCTTTTATTAAGTACAATTAATTTTTGATGCTAGATTTGGCTTTTATGAAAACCAGTTAAAATATTCAACATAGAGTCATTCTCTAAACGTTGTTCTTTACTTAACGTTGTCCCTCAGTTTTACGATATTAATAACTGGAATATATCGGGAAATTTTTTGAAACGCCAGAAAATCATTGTTACCATTTTTATGATTTATTTACCTAATTCCCAATTTTTAAAGAATTTTTTGTGTTTTTTTGCAAAAGGGACGACGTTTGAGGAAAGGACAACGTTTAGAGAATGACTCTAATTGTTTTTTCCTTTTGACTGTTAAAGGAAAAATATATAAAATTTAAATAACTGTAATTTGTGAAAACAAATAGATTTTATTTTTATTAATTTTCATTATTAATAAAAAAAATGTTTTTTTCCATAACAATAAAATAACATAAAAGTGTTCATTAAAAATCAAAAAAATATCTGAAAGGAAATCATTGACATGAAAAATAAATAACAATGAAATTTTTTAAATATAAATTTATATTAATAAAATATATTCGAAATATAAAAAAAGGAAATGAACAAAGACAATTGTGATTTGATACAAAATAAATGTTTATATACTAAAAAACAGTTTATATGATGCTATTTAACTTAATTATGAAAGATATAATATATATTTACACAAAAAGTATAAACAAAATTGGATTGGACATGCAGTTAACCAGCTGCTGTACAATTCAAAATGGTTTTTTTTATTTCCAATTATGTATTATATTGGAGTCTTATATCTTAACATATTTTATTTAAATGTTTTTTGATTTACTGCACTTTAGACAACTCAAACTCAATTCTTTTTTCGAGTACTGACTTGTTATATATTTATTTACAATACATTTTTTGAACAACATTTACTATATTTGGTATTGTCATTAACGATGATGTATTTTATTGTACTTTCAAACTTATTTTAGTGCCCATCTAATACAATTTGTAATTGAGCATTATATGTGGCTTTATTTATGAATAAAGCTAGAAAATCTTTACGTACAATAACGCAAAGTCTAATATACAATATTAAACGTGTATTTTACAACGCATTTTTTACAACCGCTTAAAAATGAAATGAATACAAAGTGAATGTGGAAATAAGTTGTTTTGACTGATTCCAAATTCAAAACGCCGTATTGTGTGTTGATTTATCTAATATTTAGTGAACCAACATCAACAATAATGACCAATTTGATATTTCAAAAGCCAAATTACATGTGAAAATTTAAAAATACTAATGAAAATACATGAATCTGTCAAATACTGACAAATATTTACATCATGCTGCTAATCTGATTAACCTGTAAATTGCTTGATTGTGTTTACGTGTTAATTGTCGTTATTTTTTATACTTTTGTTTGTTTAAAACGTTTTGAATAAAAATGTTATCTGTGTGCATAACAATTTTTAGTAATTTTTCAATTATTGAAAAAATAACCACAAAATATAAATAAAATATTATTTATTTTTAACATCAAAACAAACATAATTATAAAATATTAAATATTCCGATTTCATTTATTTTTTTATTTTCCTTTAAAATCATTTTTCTGAGCAAGATATGGTATTTCTTAAATCATTTCAATTCTGTTTTTGATATAGAAATGTTTGCATTTCCAATTTCAATAACATGTATGTATTTACTGGTTAGTGTGACAACAATAAACTTAAAAAAAATATTGATACAGAAGTAAAATATAAATAAAATTATAAATTGGAAAATGTATAATTATTTTTAAAGTATAAGTGAAACCTTTTATATTGGTTGGGGAAAAGTGTGTTTTGAATAGATGGGACTGGTCTAAAGCTTATTATTTCGTTAATGTTTTGATATTTGGGGAAGACCATTTCAATGTAGACAATGTCTAAAAATGATAATGATTGTTAATTAATCTGAGGATTATAAAAAAGCCTTAGTATATTCTTTTTATTCTTTTACATAATACAGAAATTTCTGTATTATGTAAAAGAAATAATAGAGCATTCAAATATGTTAAATTGTAAAGATAAGTGTAAAATGGGTTGTCGATATAGATGATTATGATAAATCATAAACCACCGTTGTCGATTATGTGGATTTCGTCCTTATAATGATGGATTACACCGAAGGTATTGTCAAGAATAAAACTTGTTATCAAATAGAGTAATTAGTTTAATAAATATGACAAGCATAAAGCTTAATAAAACTTCAACGTTTTTGATATTTACCAAGTAGATTACAATAAAAAAATTAATTTTAAATAAAATAGCTGTTTATATGTTCTGATAAGATTTTTTTTCAAATAAACAAGTTTTAAAATTGGAGTTGGTTACAATGTTGCTTCTTTATGAAACAGACAAATTAATGAATCATAAACGTGAAAACACTAAACAACTTAAATAACATTAAATTTATTCCAAGTGTTTTACAAAATAAACAATCTCGACTTTATTAGATAATTAGACATGTTTAAAAATTAATTTTAAAGAATAAAAAATAACGGTCTTTTTAACTGCTTTCCATCGTTTTAATTGTTATAATTAATGAAATTATAACAAAAGTCTATTACAAATAACCACATTTGACGAAAAAGGGTTCTGAGTGGCATTTTTAGACCTTGTGGTAAACAGTACCATACAATATATTATTATATTAATAACATTTGAAACTTTTAAATTAAGCGGTTAAAAAAATAAAGCGTTTTTTTATTTTCTGTATGTACAACACTTTAGACAAGTCAAACAATAATAACATAAAAATAATTTTATATCAAAGTAAAAACAGGTCAATTAAAATTCAAATGTTATTGACGATTAAAACACCAAATCAATTATTTTTAGCTTTATTATATTCTACATCAAGTTGTTTCACGATTTTATCAGCCAAGCTTCTGTTTTCAGGTGTTTGTTCCCACACACGACTAACAACATCAAAAACTTTTTCGCTCACACAGGAAGGCTTTCCTTGTCTTTTTCGAGACATCACATAATCGACGATATCCCATGGGTATCCAAAGTTTTCTTTACTATACGACTCACACCACGCCAAGCACTCATACATAGTCACACCAAATGAAAATATGTCTGCACTCTTTTTGTACTTCTCCTTATTTATAATCTCAGGCACCATATATTTTGGTGTGCCAACGCCTTTTGTGAATGTCATATTTGTCATTGATAAATTGATGTTTCTACTTGACCCAAAAACAGTCAATTTTGCATTCACTCTCTCGTTAACGTCCATTGAAAATACCAAGATGTTATCCGGCTTGATATTTTTTATGTAATATGCTGTTTTCGTGAAGATAAAAAATTCCCTTTGCCGCATCAAGTAAAAATTTAATTCAAAGTTTTTCAGCTACACAATTTTCATTTACTTTTTCATTTTTCGTGTTATCAATCAAGTCAATCGTCTCGTGCTATTGTTATGTTGATGCTTATCAAAAATACATGTTAATTAACAATTTCACTTGTTTGTTATTTTATTATATTTTAATTATATTTATACCATATTAATAGTTCATTGTTTGATTTATTATATGTGAATAACGATTGTATTTTCACATCATTTCATTATCAAAATAGCTAGTAGTCATACACCCAACTTTTCAAGTATTTACTGAACAGTTTCAATATAACATAAATTGCTATTAAATACATAACTATATTGTTTATTCATTTCGTTTTGAAACATTTTTTGTGTCACAGTGTGTTGGGTCAGATTCTTTTTTTGTTTTTTTAATCGAAAAATCAACTACTTTCATAAAACATAAACAAGACATCGAGTATTTTATTTTCGAATAACAAATCATTATGAAATCAACCAATATATTCATTTTATTCATCAGAATAAAATTATATTGGTAAGTGATTATTTGGTTAATAAAAATATGAGAACGATTTTTTATTGATAATTTTTAATCTTCAACACAATACGTTTTTTTGAGAAACTTTATTGTTGGAACGTGTTTATATTTGAGCAGAGATATGTACTGTCCAATTAAATTTTGTTTCATAAAAATGTAATGGGTAAATAAATATCATTTATTGACAAATTCTTGCACATTTTAAAAATATCAAAAACGTTTTTTTTATAAAATGAATTTGAATATGTGAAACTATAATTTAGAATTTGTCTTTTAATAACAACAAAAAATAAAAATGTTTTGTTTTTCGATTAGAAAAGGAAAAAACAAAACCCTCATAAAAAGTATATAAAAACACCATTTTTCCTCTTAGCACAATCTGTTGAGTTAGCCTCAAAAGATTTTGTAGAACAAAACTATCGTTTTTCATTTTAACCTTAGCAAGTCAACTGAATCAACTTTTTTTGTGGGAAGGTGAAATCTGGATAAGATTTATCTAGATCATAATTTATTTTTAGAATAATTAAAAATAAATTCAAAACACGAAATCGATTAGTTTTCGCGCAAATAACTGGTCTTTACAGACCCATGTTTTCTATTTTCCATGTATTCAAAATAGTCAACACTTGCTGTTACGAGACATACACATGAATTTTCATTAGAGCGTTTCGGAATTTATCAATTTTTCATTATTTAAATTGGTTTGTGACACGCAGTTCTTAATTTAAGATCTTTTTAGTTCAAATACAAAAATAAAAAAAAGTGACTTATTTTAAGTAAAAAAATCAAGGATATAAATTATCCAGTTTTCACTTCGTAAGGTTAACAGCCTCGAATAACAAAAAAAACCAAAATGTTTTAAAACCCTTAATATCATTATTTTGGCCCAATAACAATTCGCAGTATTAACACTCACTATGACGTGAAAAAACATTTCACATCACGATGATTTTTCTTAATACTCTAAACAATTTCCATTTGTTTGGTCACACGTTTTACAACTTGTGGAACACTTTGTACACCCACAAGAACCACTAAGTGAGTAATACCCAGAAGCACACTTTAAACACAACGAAGTTCCACCACCCAAATAATACAATACGGGACATATCGAACAGTTCTTATTCGATGAATCGTATGAATATCCCCGTCGTTTTTGAACACACTCCACAATTTGTGAAAACGGATTGAATACAAGTCAAACTTCCAGCCGTGGAATAAAATCCATCACGACACTTTTTACACACCCAACTTCTTTTCTCATCTGCAAAAGTTCCTGCTGTACAATTATAACAAATAGCACGTCCACTGCTCAATACGTTCCTCGACTACACTTTAAACATTTTTTGATATCATTGGGTATTTAGAACGCGTTCCGGCAGTACATTTGAGCATTTTGCACTGCCAGAAGATTGTGAATAATACCCAGTCGTTCACATAGTGCAAGTAATTGCCCCTTTATTAGAATAAGACCCCACATTACATGATTTACAAGACAATGTTCCAGTATTACTTGAATCTATTCCAGCATTATATTGGGTACAAATTGGTGATCACAAAAAGAAGATACAGCATCATATTTTGTGTATGAAAAAGCACCACTGGTAGAGTAGGTTTCAAAAATTAAAAGTTTGTTTATTTAAATAAAAAGGATTATAAAATCTGGGAGTTATAGTTTGGAGTCTAACAACAAATAGATTTGTTAAATAAGAACAGTTTGAACTTGTGATAGACTTTTTTCCACCAACACCAATTAATTATTATTTGTATTTTTAATTATTTTTACTGGCATTTCAATTAATTTTACCAATTTCAAATTATTTAATGCGTGTCTATGACTTCGATTTAATATTGCCAGCTCAAGTATTTTGATGGATGTTCAAAGTCATTTTTAATAATTAAACATCATAATATTTAAACATAATTGTTAATATTATATATAAAATATAAATTATTTAAAATTGTTTTAGTATTTACACAAAACATTGTATCAAAAGATATTGTAACAACAGACAATAAAAAGTTATTATTTAATTTTGAGTACTTGTATTCTTAAATTTCTCCAAAAAGAATTCTTTGACATCAAATTTCACTTCTCCTTTTCCTTTTCGATTAATCAGCCATTTTCTAATTATTATAACAGAAACAATTAGAGCAGATAATATAACCAAAACTGCAAATACTATTGCCCAAATAAGAATTGTTGCTAATGTAAAATTCGCTTTTGTATAGTTTACTTTCCATTCGTCATCTGCAAGAGAAAA